AATAATCTTATGTTACATGATTTATGGGTCGAATAGCAAAGACGTCATTTTTTAATCAGAAACGCAATCTAACTGGTGGATCACAGAAATGCTGGCGTGAACCTTTTCGCACCGTATACATATTTTTCCTTATTATTTCTTAAACACTTGTTTTCATATTTTCATACAAATTTTTCTATTTCAGTGAAAAACATGCACTAAAAAACGTTCTAATTTTGTTTCGAAACAACTAGCAAGTGGATCTGTGGATGGTATCATTTGAAGTTTGGACCTCACTTTCATTATACGCTAACCAATTATAAGGGGCGTGAGTTTCTAGCGGGAAGTGGACCTAGAAGCACAATATTTTGTTTGAAAAATTTTGAGCTGCCCATCACTTTGCGACGTTGCGTCCTTTTGTCCTGTCCAAAATGAAGACGGCTGCAAGCCACAAAAGTGTTTAAATTCAAATTAAGATTGTGTTGTCAGACTCGGACCGAAGTTCGACTCGGCAGTGGTCAGGGGTCAAGTGACTCGGGGGGTCGACTCGAGGCGATTTGGTGATCGACTCAGATAATGTCATAATGCTGTAATAAATATTAAATATTAATAATTATATTTTAAATAAAATTTTATATATTTTACATATATTTGTTGATTGATAAAATTAAACTAGCGCTTCATAACTTTCAAATGGGTTTTTTATGAAACAAAATTATGACATTAGCTAAAATATTAGTTTAAACTAACTTTTATAATAATGAAAAAATTAATAAATTTACTACATAATTGAATTTTATCATAAAAAAAATTACTTTGTATGTTTAATCAATGTATTTGGTAATAATTTTTTCAACTTTAGTTTAAAATGATGAATATTCCTCAAATTATTTAGTTTATGATATTTTACCTTAGTTCAAAATAATGGTTAGTACTCAATTTGACATTTGTGATGTGAGATGAATGACTAAATTGAAAATTTAGACTTAAATATTTAAAATTATGGGTTAAATCACATAAATATAAAAGTTATGGGCCATTAATAACATAAAAAATCTAATTCTGGGTCAAAAGTTAAAAGTTCATCCTCAAAAGTAGTGGAAAAAAAAATTAAAAAGTAGGTTAATAGTCAAAACCCGATTCGACTCGGGTTTGACCAATTTTCGGATTAACCAGAAATTTGACCGGTTTTTACCAAGTCATAAACAGCCGATTTTATGTTTTACTCGACTCGGCCTGAGGTCCGGTTCCCGGTTAAACTGGTTCGACCGGTTGGTCCGAGCCGAGTTTAACAACACTGGTTTTTTAATGTTTGTATTTTTCTAGGCTTTGTTGAAATAGTGATTTTTGGAGTTAAATTTTCCAGAGAGTACAGCTGCGATTTTGAAAGAATAGTATTCACATTGATCCATTTAAGTACAATTTAAGCTACCCGAATCGTGGCACCTCAATCTGCATCGTGTATTCCGTTTGGACAAATGCATTTGTTTCGAATACTCAACAAAATTCTCTATTTGGCTGGGTTCTTTATGTTTTTTATTATTATTATCTGTTTCATCCAAGCATAAATTTTTGCATTTTTAATATATCTTTTTACATTCCTAATATAAAAAATACCTAAAAACACACTAAAAAACAATCCAAACATATGAGAAAACATGATTATTTTGAAGGTTGAATGATGCTTTGCAACTCGTCAAAATAATTCATACGCATATCAAATAGAAAAACATGTATTATATACTTATAATAATTATTTTTTTCCATAGTTTTTTTTAATTAAACCAGGCGAGTACCTGAAAAATTTATAGATAACCAAAAATATTTTTCAGGGCAGTGTTTAACACTTACTATGTACAAGAGACCGTTAAAAACGGAGATTTAAATAGTAGTAAATATACTGATACTTTCAAACCAGACCTAATTGGACCTATACAAATTATGTCTAACGCCTGGTATTTTTCGAATTTTTCAGAATTATTTTTCTAGTAATTCAATAAAGAAAAATTACAGGCTAAATTTCCTGTTATCGTGATTCGTTTCTTTCGGATCACAGATCTGAACTGCCACGTTTAGTGGGTATATGGAAAATCCAAATCTGTGAGTAATATACGGGGAAGTTAAACACTGTTAATTTTAAAAAGAGCCACTAAAATATAATTAATCCAAATCTGAACCTAAACTAAACATATGAAATAATCGTATAAATCAATTTGGTTTGTTTGTAACTCAGACCGGTGAACCGATATGTACCAATTCACCGGGTATTGAGGACCGGCGGACCAGTTTCTGAGAGTTGGCCCATAGTTAATTATGCACTCGATCAAAGTTTTTACTTACCTGAAACTGATTATTTAGACTTAGAAGGTTATGTAAGATGTTTAGGATGATGATTATTAGTAGTACGAAATCAGAAATTCAGATATTGCAAGAGGTTTCTAATAAGTTTTTTAAATCACGTAATCAGTATTCTTTTCTAGACAATCGAAGGAATATATACATTTTAGTTCAGAAACGAGATGATTACTGAAGTGTTGGAGAAAGGAAATAAATTTATTATAAGTGGGGGCTCATTTGTTTTGTCATTTTTTTAAGCATTCGTGGTGTGCTTTCTTGCTTGTATCATTATCAGCCATGACGGCTATGCCGGAAGAATCAAAGTCGAATTGGCCAACCCCTCTAGAATCGAAGCTGTCAATAATTTTCTTAGGGCATCTAAATTTTTTCTTTTTTTTGTCTATTGTCTGTCTAAGCTTGAGCCTGATCTACTAGAATACAAATTTGATTGAAAGAAAGGTTGCAAATGAAGATATGATAAGATGAATATGTTGACGATCGAATTGAAGAAGAAATAATCAATGTTTAGACAGACAATAGCCTAGTGATTGGTGATGCATCATAATATTAGAACAAATTAAATAAAAAATTCTTTTACGGATATTTGTGATGAACCATCGATCTTATATTACGAAGTCTTTTTTGCTTAAGGATCTCCAACTCTACACAATAGCTATCATCGATTTTATAAGAAAAAATTATCTCATTTCGTTGTCGCTTACGTATAGGTATAAGAGTCACAAACATGCCCAAGACAAGAATATATTTTATCACAAATTCGAATGACAAAGCATATATGATTATTAACTGAGGTTGGAGAAGTAGACGGGATATTAAGAACGAATCAAATTCCGGTGGAGCAATCCCAAAATAAAAAATGTCATCCTCTCAAAAACCAAAATTGATTATCTTTATTTGGAAAAGGAAATACAGGAAGTATCATGTATCTTCCCAAGTCTAAATAACCTACATTGTGTTATCACCGATTTTTAATTAAAAATCGAACCGGCCCAACAAAAGTGGTGAATCGGCCCAGCATCGCAAGAAGTCCATATCCGACACGGAATAACGGAGTCCATTCTCGAATTGGTGAAGGAAACACATCGAAAGTCCAATACATGCTTAACCGTCCTAACATGAGTGGTAGGATTGGCAAATGGATATTAGGACTCATAGAATTTCAGTTTCAACATGTTCCACAATCAGCTGTTAAGGGACAAGCTTTGGCAGACTTTTTAGCAGCACATTCTTCTGTGAATGATAACTGGTCTGAGATAGAGGTTGCAGCCTTTCACGTTGATACCACCCAACCATTCCATGGAAGCTTTATTTTGACAGTTCTGCCACATTTCACCGGTGCAGAGCAGGAGTGGTTATCTATTTCCCTCTTGGAAGAGTACTACGAATACGTGTGCGTCTGAATTTCCGTGTTACTAATAATCAGGTAGAATATGAAGGTCTGTTTTATGGTATACCCACTTTGATACACAATGGAGCACGCAATGTCGACGTCATCGGCGATTCTGCTCTTGCCGTTGGTCATATGAAGAATACTATGAAGCGAAAGATGATATCTTAACACAATATGCAACTCTTAGCGGCGAACTTAAATCTCACTTAGATACCATCACCTTCACAAATGTGTTATGCCCTGATAACCATGAAACCAATGCTATGGCACAGTCTGCATGTGATTATGTGCCGGAAGTGGATTCCTCTTTGCAGTATGATACTGTTAAATTTGATTTTTCTGCATATCATTAGCAAGCTTTCATCCCGGTTAATACCATTCAGCCACAAGTTGACATCAGCGATTGGAGACAACCTATTCTCCAGTTCCTCCTCAATCCAGATTTGCCGACTGATCTTCAGACCCGGCAACGGGCTACTCAATATGTTGTGTTGGATGGAGCTCTTTACCCAAGACCGTTGATGAGATTCTCCTCAAATGTCTTAATCGTTCAGAGTCCACTGTCATCATGTTAGAAACACATGAAGGTGCTTGTGGCGCCCATCAAGGGGGACAAAAAATGGCTTGGTTAATTCATCGACACGGGTACTTCTGGCTATCTATGACATAGCATTGTATCTTTTTTGCCCGTGGCTATACTGATTGCCAGTGTTATGGCGACATTCCACGTGTTCCGGCTGCTCCCATGCAAGTTAGAGTAAAACCTTGGCCTTTTCAATGCTGGGCATTGTACGTCATCGGCATGATTCATCCGTCTTCTTCTAGTGGCTGCCGGTATATTCTGGTAGCCACTGATTATTTCACAAAGTGGGTAGAAGCCGTGTCACTCAAAGATGTTGACCAAAAAGTAGTTATCCGATTTATACATAAACATATCCTGTATCGGTTTGGAATTCCTGAATCTATTGTCACTGATCAAGCACAATATCTCATCGACACAGAGATGCAAGAATTTGCAAAGATGCTGGTTTCTTCCTTACTCACTCCTCTCCATATTTTGCACAAGGGAATGGTCAAGCAGAGGCTAGCAACAAGATTATTCAGAATCTCATAAATCGTCACATCTCCGACAACCCCAGAGCTTGGCATTCTTTGTTGCCACAAGTGTTATGGGCTTAACGCATGTCCAAACGTGGCATCATGACCATAAACTAACATGATGACAGTGGACGCATGTTCAATTGGGATGACGGCATCATGACCGTATAAGTTAGTTTATGGTCATGATGCCGTCATCCCAATTGAACACTTGATTCCATCTCTCCGGATTACAAGTCAACATCCGATTGATTCTGTTGAAAATACTCTGAGCATGCAAATTCAACAAGATCAGGTAGAAGAGATTTGGATTAATGTGGCTTGACAGATTGAGTATGAGAAGCGTCTCGTTACTAAACAGTACAATAAGAATGTTTGACACCGCAACTTTCAAGTCAGCGAGAAGGTTTGGAAAGCAATTCTGCCAATTGGTCAACATGATCCTATATACAGCAAGTGCACACCGACTTGGGAAGGACCTTTTGTCATTCATCGCCACTTAGGATGCAACGTTTATGCGTTGGCAACTTTAGACGGAAAAATCAGTGCAAAATATATCAATGCCACCTATTTAAAGAAGTACTACTTGTCTCGATGGGAACAGTTGGATCACCAACATCATGACCAAGCCAAACAAATGGTAGCAAAGCGTTATTCATGACAGAGTCCAACCCAGTACTTCAACAGTTCCAAAAGAACAAATGAAGAGCCATAAATTCAGAGACACCAAAAAGAGATAAAATTGGCACAAGTCACCACCCGTTGCAACCACACGCAGGTGACAGGAGTTATGGTTGATGTTTGGTCCAGATTGCCTTCCCCAGTACCGCTTGACTCACCAGCAACACCACATAGAGCTGATTGTACCTCCTTTAGATCTTCCTCTTTGTTTGCCTCTTCCGTTGCATCTGGAGAGGGTGTTTATGCCGGAACAGCAACATCTTTTAACGTGCCCTTTAGGAAATTCCACATCTTGGTGGCTTCTGCAATTATAGGCTGCACATTTTTAGAGTGAACAGATTTTTCCTAGGTATCCTGTACACGTTCATCACGAATGTTGATTGTATCTGCGCACTGTTGCACCATTTTCTGGTACAACAGGTTAGCTTCTTGGCGTTGTTCTTGAACGTATTTCAGGTCTGCTTCCAATGCTGCCTGTTTTGCTGCTAGTTCCTTTGCTTGAGCTGCAGTTGCTGCTGCCTGTTGCACTAGAGTTTTTGCCGTCTTTTCAGCTTCTAAATGTGCCATGGCTACATGGTTGTGGTCCTCCACATCCTTCACACAAATTTCACAACTAACTTTCTTTCTTCAAAGTTGGCTAAAAACAAGGCAACTGTTGCTTTGACCGCTTCTGGCAAATCACTTCCCAGAATGGTCTCCAATGCCCGTTTCAGCGACTGGTGTTACATGGCATGAACGTGTTTTGCGCTCATCTTTAACAGCCCTTGCAATTCTCTCAATGAAGCTTCGACAGATTGTGTTTCTCTGCCCTTGGTCTTCACTTCTGCAGTTGTTTCCTCCATCTTGTGGAACAAACGTTTCTGCAACTCCTCAATTATCGGGTTCGCTGGAGTGACAGCAGTTTGCTTGGTACTTCTTTGGGATGTTTTGGAGCCTGGTTGCCATTTTTATGGCGACACCACATGTTGCTCAGGGCTGCTAGCAGCATCTTCATCAGCAGACTGATACTTCTTTTTGCTCACTTGCGTCTGAGTCTTCAGCAGTCAAGTCTACCATTTTCGGCTTCTGTAACAAAAACAATGGTCAATAATCCGTCAATTGATACCTACCACTGCCATTACTTCATATGTCACAAAGAACTTATTTTGGAATTACTGGTAGATGTTCTCTTGGTTGCCATCAGTCGAGCCGATGTCCATCATTTCACTGGTTGTGATGATCCTGCTGCTTTCTTCCTTTTCTGACCCTTTTTACTCCCGCTAGCCACAGGACTCAGCTTTAGTATCACTGACACGTAGACTTCCCTGTCTTAGCAACAAGTTATAACACTTACCATGTCATTACCAATACAACATGCATGATTACCTTGGGGGGCTTGTTCATCGACCACATGCAGTTTTGGGATGTCCGCATCAATACGGAGCACTTCCTTCAAGATACCATCCAGTCCTTCCGGATACAGCGTGAGTAATACTTCTTCCAGGAAGATGTAAAAGACCACCGTTGCTTCCATCATTTCCTAAAATGGCACCAGTTTCCCGGACCGTCACCTGTTTGACATAATCTCTCTTTGCTCATAATACTCCAACATGGTCATCTTCTTCCTTCCAACCTCCCAAGTATGTTTACAAGCTGCATCAAAAAAGGGGATCCCTTGCACTAGCCCTAGCTGTCTTGCCACCATCACCGTTGGATAGTATTCTGCATGCATATGGCATGCACCAGTTTGGGGAGGTAGACTTTTAAACCCATAGTATAAATCCCTGGGTACTAATAACCTCCTCCATGCATTTGATAGACCAGACGCACTATCATTATTCCATTCCCCAGACTCCACTGCTACTTGTGTATGCATAAAAGGTGGGGTGCCAGTGTTTATGTAACAGTTCGTTCAAAATCACAAGTAAATCAGGTGCAGAATCCCATAATACTGTGGCTACGCACTTGCTATCATATCTAGCTATACTAGTATGGGTCACACTCAGGCACAATGACTGCACTCTCACTAGTTTGACCCCTGCTACCCGTAGTTGAGGAAAGTACATATAAAACCACAGGAATAACAACCATACTGGTCCAAACACAGTTTCATTCGGGGCTTTCCTAATCTCATGCGTACTATGATATAACATTGACAGCATAATTTCACACATATTGATGAATTTCCCAGAAGCTAGAATAGCAGCCATGTGGTACATATCTTGTGTCATTTGGAAAGACTTACCACAGATGATGTACCGATTTAGCCACAATGCAAAGAACCGGATATGTTGCAGATGATCATTACACGGCTTCGGCATATTTTCCTTGATATACGGTCTATGCCCTCGATGTTATTTTGACCCAGTTGTGGCTGCCTAGGCATCTTTACTATTTCCGTCAATTGTGACATCAGCAACCACAGGAACCCCGGTTATCACCGCCACATCTAGCAAGGTTGGAGTCATAAAACCCCATGGGAGACAGAAGACATTGCTGGAGCTACTCCAGAATCTCGACTCAACCCCCAATAGTACTTTATTATCAAACAACCCCATCTGTCAGAATTGAATCAAATCATAGATCCCGACTTTCTTCCAGGTTACCGAATGGTGTTTCTCCATCATCTTGGCCCACTTGCAGAACTCTTGGTGAACATTCCATTTCTCCGATGTCCATGGCCATCCCCTGATACGTCCAAATCCGGTACATAGGAACCTGTGGGATACATTTTTTGGATTAGCACCGGCACATATTCCCGGAGCGTGGCGTTATCCGCCATAAAATTAGGCCCCAACGAATAGTGACCCAGTGGTCCGTGAGGGTTGAGAAGTTCATGGAAATCTGGTGACAACGACAGCAGCTCTTCCGGTTTCACCCCTCTGGCAGCATCAAACTTCACAGCGTACATCCCAGCCATTGCGCTCCTGATGATTTGTGATTTTTCTGGTTTGAGATTTGTTTTGGTGAAATCGCCGAAACGGAGAAGGACTCAGAGTTTTTGAATTTTGAAAATCAGACAGCAGATAAGGAATGACGTTTAGGAAATGCAGCGTTATTTGGAAGCCGATACTCCTTGATTCACGGGATTGGATTTCGGTTCCCCACACTTCCTACCAACGATTTGATTTGGAATAGATCTTATCTGCCTTCATCTTTCAAAGCCGCTACCTCCGTCACGCCTTTGATTGGGGGGCTGCCATACACTATTTTTATTCCTAGCTTTGAGCTACTGCTTACTAGGCCAATTCATTGTTGGCCCGATGGATATTCAAGACACACCACATTTGATAAAATGAGTTGTGCCTTGGGGGAGGAGACTTATGTTATCACTGATTTTTAATTAAAAATCAAACTGGCCCAACAAAAGTGGTGAATCAGCCCAGCATCACAAGAAGTCCATATCCGACACGGAATAACGGAGTCCATTCTCGAATTGGTGAAGGAAATGCATCAAAAGTCCGATCTGACGCAGAAAAGATCAAATCCAAGGTCAAATCGAGTTATAATTGTAAAAGGAAATAGGAAATCGGAAATAAAATACAATTGCAACTCTAAATCGGCAACACCAAATTGGAGTAGGAATCGGAGATCGCACTGTCCTATACGATTACCGAGCCCTATATAAAGGGAGAAAGAACAGAGCGACAGAATCAATCAATATCATCATTAACACACACATACAAACACAAGCTGTAAAGCTCTTATATTTCTTTTCAATACCCTATTTTCTTTTCAAATACTTTCTTTCACAAGTTTTTTCTATTCGATTTACACATTGTATTTCATTTAAGTTCATCAATTTATCTTCAATTCAGTTTGATTCAAGTTGTTGCAAGTCCTATTCCTTTTCTTTTTCACGCCTGGCTGAATATTGCATCTCATGAATTACACACTTTTATTTGATATTGTTTACAAGCGTCGTCAGTTCTTATTGATTATTTTCACACAAACACATTGCTTACACTTTCATGAGTTCCTATCCACACTCTGTGTCCTACAAAAATAATTTACACTGTAATTTATTAATTGTATTAAAATTTTCTTCCACTATCTCAAAATTATTGTCTAATTTATATTTTCTATTTTTAGTTCAAATGTACTAAAAATTAAAATCCAAACTAGATAATCATTTTGAGACATAGTGACTATTTTTTTAAGAAAAATAAAACCAGGATATACCTGGGTAGTTTATTAAAAAGTGAAATATTTTCAGGATAGTACTTAAGACTTACCCTGTACAATTGAGAAACCGTCATAGGATGACCGTGTTTTAAATATCAGTTAAACTAATATTTTCTAAACCTCATCGGGAATTACATAGTTAGTAATACACTTGGCATAGAGAAAATTACAGTAACGCAACGGAGAACAATTATCATTTTCCCTGTCAACGTGATTCAGAATCCCGAACAGTGAGTACTGTACGGGAAATTTGAAATCACCGCATCCAAGTTGCTCCTGCAAATGAATCAACAGCAACAAAGCATAAAATAACTAAGCATGACTCGATTTGGTTTGTTCGTGACCAGCACGACCGGATTAATAGACTAGAGGATCCGATACCCAGTTTTTGAAACAGACCTGGTTTTAAAAAAACCGACTTGAGTTAAACAGCAGCTCTGAACTTTTGAGGGCCGGTCGAACTACAACCGACAGCAAAAGTGCCGGTGCATTGGGGGCCGTCCGATCTGAGAGACTGGCCGGTTCTGTGAAGGAGTCAAAGGGGTCCTTGGATCGACGCTGGATCTTCGGGGTCGCCATTAGCAGACATCAGAAGGGAGCGATGGTCGCCGGTGGTCCTTGTGGAAAGAGCAGAGGAGCGGCAAGGCATTAGAGGAGCAAAAACTTCCGGCCAACAATCAGATCTGAAGCAAAAGCTTCAGGTCTACACCCGTCAACACAGGTGGTGGAGTTGACCATTTGGGCGGCGGCAGACAAATCCGGCCATCGGTGCAGGAAGGGACACCGTTCAGGGAACTTTCAAGCAAAAATGTCAGATATGCACCCGTCAACACGGGTGGTGGGGTGCGGCGGTGGCGGCGTAAGCTTGGCTTGCTACAGGAGGCTGCAAGACTCCAATGAATCGGTCTTCTGCTTTTTTGGTTGAGGCATGTGATCTTTTTTTAAAAGAGAAAATAAGTAAAAATAGAAGAAGAAAAGGCTACCCCAACCACCGTTAATGGTGGTCGGGGGAGGAAGGGATTTTCCGGCGAGGGTGTTTTAGAGAGATGGGAGAGTAAAAGTGAGTTGTGAAGACATAGTGACTATAATTCACATATTCTAATGTAAATTATTGGTCGGGGAAGGAAAAAATATAATTTTTTGTGCACGAAAATATAAAAGACTCTGTCCAAAATAACATTAGGCTAATGAGGCGTCACAAAGCCATCATTAAAAACTTGGTTACAAATATTATTTCATCTATTACAAAATAAACCATATAGTTCGTCTAAGAGGAGTCTTATTCTAGGCCGAATGGAATAAAAAAGAAAAAAAAGCGAGAATATTCATCGAAAAGACTGTAATATGCAAGTGATGATGCAATTCCATATTCACGAGTGGTTGAAATTTTCTTCTTTCCTTTTTTCCCAAACAATTTGAACATTCTTCGTCTCGTGGTCAAAGAAAGTCATGTATCCATTACCCAAAAACAGTGAAGCATGGTTACTTTGTCCGTACTGAATAACTTCTTGGTGCAGGTCATTTCTGATCATTCATTTGCTCTGTCGATTTTTTCCCTTGGATTTATGGTATCAGATTAGCACAAGTCATCACATAATCTTTGTAATCTAGTCATGAGCAGTGAACCATTAGGTAAAGAAAAAACATTCCCTATAAATTCCAGTGACTTTTGCAAACAAATGTACCATTGTTTTGCCTCACATATCCAAAGTTCCAAATAATGGCCATTCACGATATCGGCAACGGCTGCGAAAACGGTGGCCGGAAAACGGAAGAGGTGACCGTACTAATGGTTCCTCTTCCGGCACAGGGCCATCTCAACCAGCTCCTCCATCTCTCCCGCCTTATTTCATCCTACAACATTCCAGTTCACTACGTTTGTACTCCAGCCCACACCTGTCAGGCGAAAAATCGCATTCATGGCTGGGATCCTCTGTCTATTTCCAATATTCATTTCCATGAATTTCCGGTTCCTTCATATGAAACACCTCCTGCGGATCCATATAGTTCTACCAAATTCCCAACCCAACTCATTCCAGCCTTTTTCGCGTCGATTCATCTTCGCGAATCGATTTCCTCTTTGATGAAACAACTGTCGAACACCACTAGAAGATTAGTAGTGATTCATGATTCCTTGATGCCGTATGTGATCCAAGACATTGGTGAGATCCCGAACGCCGAATCGTACGCCTTCCAGAGCGTATCGGCTTTCTGTGTCTACTCTTACGTTTGGGAAAACGAAGGAGAACCAGAAGTGCCCGAATCCAAAATATTCAAAACTCTGCCTCAGAGACACTACCCTGAAGAGTTCGAAGAATACATACGAATACAGTTCGAGAAACAGGTTGAGAATTCAGGTAACCTATTCAATACCTGCCGAGCCATAGAGGGTAAGTTTCTTGATGGCCTTTCGAAGTTTAAGATGTCTGGAAGTGACAAGAATTGGGCAGTTGGTCCATTCAATCCTGTTGTGATAAACGAAAAGGAATTAAACCCGAAGAAGAGACATTATTGTCTTGATTGGCTTGATAAGCAGCCTCCAAATTCTGTAATTTTCGTGTCCTTTGGCTCTACAACAGCACTTTCAGATGAACAGATCCAAGAGATCGCAATCGGGTTAGAAAAAAGCGAGCAAAAGTTCGTATGGGTCGCCAGGGATGCAGATACAGGGGATTTGTTTAAAGATGGTGAAGCGAGAAGAAATGCCCAATTGCCAAAAGGATTTGAAACTAGGACTGAAGGGAAAGGAATTGTGATTAAGGATTGGGCACCTCAATTGGAGATTCTTGCACATTCGTCTACTGGTGGATTCATGAGCCATTGCGGATGGAATTCGAGCATCGAAAGCATCAGCCACGGAGTGCCGATTGCTGCTTGGCCGATGCATTCGGACCAACCGGCAAATTCTACGCTGATAACAGAGGAGCTGAAAGTTGGTCTGAAGGTTATCAATTGGAAACCCGGATATGAAATTGTGACATCCGAAACTGTTGAAAATGCGGTGAGAAGATTGATGGATTCTGCAGAGGGAGAGGAGATTAGGGAAAGGGCAAAGGAATTGAGCAAAGCTGTGAAATCCTCTGTTCTTGAAGGTGCGAGTCGAATGGAGATGGATTCTTTTATTGCTCGCATCCGCAGGTAATTCAAAATAAGGTTGGGAGAGTTTTGTCTACCCAGTTCGAGTTTGAGTCGTGGATTTGGACACGGGATACATAATATGCCAAAAAATAACACACAATTCAATGCGTTTTAGGTAACTGGAGCTCTGGCATGAGTTGAAAGTTAGGAAACATAGTTGGAATGTAATCAACTGGCAAGAATCAAATCAGTTGATAAGATACTGTTTTGTTCTTGATCAATGTCCATTGTAGGTTTTCTAGTATTTCTTTCCAATTTATACAGGTGCTTCAAAAATGTAACACCTTGTGTAAAATTATGAAAATTTACAACGTTCTCAATAAAGAGTTTTTCATTTGTTCGTTGCATGTTTGGATGACAAAAGTTGATCGGAATTTAGAAGATAACAGAGTTCTTCTAATATCAGAACCGATGGCTAATTATATACTATATGTAGAATACAAATCCATCAATCGGGATGCTTCCTCGGAGAATGTATTCTTTTTTATTACCTTATCATTCTGGCAGTTTTTCTTTTTGTTTGATTTTTTTTTTATAAAAAAATTTTCTTGGTCACACAAATCTAAAGTGTCATTTTCATGAAGAAAAATTGTAATTGACGTACGTTAACCAAATGACAAAAATATTTTGGAACAAAATATATTTTAGAAGTGGAATTGTTGTCGCCGACTAGGACTAGTCGTTGATGGCGGCCTTTGCTTTGTTTCACAAGAAAATCTTTCTTGTCTTAATATTTGACACTTGTTTGATTACGCCAGTCTTAACCAATGAATCCCAAGGTTTAAGGACAAACTATTTATTAAAATTATAGAGAATATATATGCATATCTATTATGCTAAAATTCAACTAAAATTTAAGTTTTAAATTTTTTTTTTCCAGATACAATCGTTATAATCTAGGTTTTAAATTTTTTTTTCCAGATATAATTGTTATAATCTTTTTTCTTTTTTTTTTTTTACAGTAAGAGAGGCCGTAACCTAGTTACAAGATTACGACTTGCCTTGAGTATGAAACCCCGACAAGATCATGTTGAAACTATTCCCGTACCTTCACTGGTCCCACCATTAAAGACCACCCGGACTCCATAAAGATTTTATATAGTATAATCTTTTCTACTATATAAAATGTACCGATGACTTTGCTTTGTTGCTGATGAAATCTTCCGCGCCAAGAGACTACACCATCATTTTCCGCATGCATGACGAAAACAATAATGTTAGTTATCAATTCCCCTTCGATGTTACTATCTATCTGTGGAAGAATATCAAAAATAAAGGAAGGATGCCATGCAAATACATCACTACCGGATCACCACCACCTACCTCTGCAGTCGGACCGCCCTCAACCACCGTCGTACCATTGTTGACCGGCTGGATTCTGGCTAACTACCCAATATTTGGCCGGAATCTGACCGGCCAGTCACCGGTCAGTGGTGGTCCGTCGACGGCGGAGGACAGTCCGGTAATGGGTTGAGTGGTGGAGGTAGTTTGATAATAGTAAAAAAATAATATTATTTTAATTAATAATTTTTTAAATTTTTTTTCACAACATATTTAAATCACATCTCAAACTCAAATAAAAAAATTTAAACTAAAAACTAAAATAAACCATCATCCATACTAGCACTATATTATTAACATCCAATTCCTTCTCTAATTGTTCAGAACTATTTATAGTAAAGCGGAACTAATTAGTTGTCAACAAGTAGAAAGTAGAGAGACCCACATGAAATGATGAAATGCAAAGAAAAGTGGTGAACGACGCATTAGTAGAATCTCTGACAACAAAATGCATCATATCATTGAACAAAAATTTTAAGTAAAATTCATTTCAATAACAATATTATTATCAATGAAACAACGTGCTCGCCGTCAGGTATGCGGCCGTGATTGTCATCTCGGCTTCAACAGACGTTGGTACAGTCATTTCCCATCACCTCATTTACCCCAAAACTTAGTAGATAAAATTTATCTACTAAGTAGATAAAACCCATTTCCGGTTCTGCAAGAGAACTGAAATGAAATTTATATAATTTTGATAATAGCTAGAGCAGGAAATATGTGTATCGGTCACGCAACCAAACGATCTAAAATCTACGAGCCAAAGTGTTCTATTTTGTTATATGTAATTTAGCTTCTTTTTTCTTTTTCTTTTTCTTCCTCTAGGGTTATAATTTTGATTCAAAGAAGGTTACAAGTGATGATATAATCAGATGAACATGTGGATGAATTGAAGAAGAAATTATCAAAGTTCAGGCAGACAAAAATCTACTGATCGGTGATTCATCATATATATTATTGAAATCAAAACAAATTTCAAAGTGAACATATAAACTTTGAGATTATTACTATACAATGAGGGTTTCACATCCCACCTAATTTTAAAATTTTATTTCAAAATCGAGTACCTTTAGGATCTTTTTTTTTTTTTTTTAAGAAAAGCCTTTAGGATCTGTTAGTTGCTTGTATATGAGGCTTTGGATTTGGATTTTGGGGATACTTACTTTGGCAGCAAAATCAAAAGCATTTGGATTTGATACCAATTCCAAACATGTCTAAATCCATAATTTTATGTCAAAATAAAAATTAAAGAAAAAAACTCAAAACTTCGAGCTACAATTTGTGTAACCATGTTACTATAGATTTGCTAAGTTTGTACTTTGTTCTACAGGTCATCCGGGTTATAACCCAAATCGGTTCTTTTATCCTTTAATAATTAATTCTTAGTTTCTCTGATACTTCTCATCGGGGAAAAGAATTAAAAAGAAAAAATCTTTCTAATTTTCTCTAGTAATTGGTGATATGTCCTCTGCCGACTCACTCCTCATCTCCTTCTTCCGCGACCGCCAGCTTCATCCTACATTTCGTTACTTTTTGCTGGTAAGTGGTCACAAAACTCTATTTTTCATACGCAAAACATGTGTTTTTTTAACATTTTTTTTTGTTAAAGAGGTATTTTCATCATTTTCTTAATTTAAAGAAAAAAAATCAAACACCTCCTTTAAAGAAAATCTTTATTAATCAAAAAATCAAATTCTTCCTTTTAAAAATTATAAAAATTAAATTTATATCTCATATTTATGTTTTCGAAAAGTTTATATGTTAATCTTTCTTTGGTTCATTCTTTGAGACAAATCTCAAATGTATCAAAAGTTTTTTTCACTTTTTGCATTTCCCCTTTTAGTTTGTTCATTTTTTCCCTTTATTATTTTAGAAAACATGTATATCTTATATTTAAGTTTTTTCCCTTCTTTCATTACTACATTATTATTCCCTTCTTCACCATGAAAATCACATGTTTAAAAGAAGGAAATTCTTTTGGAAGAAGGGAGTGAAACGGCGGCAGTTGGCAATAAAAGTTATGAAATAATAATGTAATTCTCTAAAAACAAATATTGATTATCTTTATTTGAAAAAGGAAATACAGTATCATGCACCTTACTACCATACTTACGTCTAAATAACATACACGGTTTACACCTTGATAAATGGGAAAATTTTTGAAAAGAGCATGTCAAGGATCAAAATTATTCTTAAAGGCATTAGTATTTTTTATTTTATAAATGATTATTAAAATAACTTCTATATATTTTAAAATTAAAAATACTGGTTTACCCTTTTTCAACTAATCACTGTAACTTTTTAGTTTCCCCTTTTTTCTGCCTACCCTATTTTTTCCATCGTCATCTCCTCCATTGTTACTTTCTGACTCCGTTCGTGATTCCCTCTAACTAGTATTATTATTACCCTAGTTCTTAATTTGGCTAACAACTTAACGTTCATGTTTTAATTTATGAGATATTGTCGATTGATGCAAGATTTCATATATTTTTAAAGAAGTTGTTGTAATCCAATTCGTTATCAATTCGGTAGCTGGAACCCCCTCCTTTGTGAATATTAGGGCTATTACTGGATTCATGTTTCTTCTATTAAAATTCAATAGTTGAAACCATGGAAGCTAAAATCCGAATGGAGAAAATAGCAAAAATGATTTGGATCAAAATGGTTGAATTCAAGAATACACCTTAAGCTCAATCGTGCTTTTGAGATGAAAGCCGCCGGTTACTGCTTTGATGAGGAAGAAGGAATAAAAAAAAGTTATGTGGTCCTAAAAAGGATAAAATAGTCTTTTACCTTGTCACAAATATTAGTTGTATTTAAAAAAAAATTTAGAAAGAAAATTAAAAAAATTAATGCGCTTAAGAATAATTTTGATTTTTCCTATGCTCTTTCTAAAACTTTTCCCTTGATAAATTTCTAACAAAGATAACTGTTTGTTAACAGGTATTATCCTTATCCTTATACTTAATATAAATGCACAGTAGGCAAGAAATTAAATGCCAAAGAAATATTCAGGACCACCTTCAAATCTATCTCGTATGTCGGATGGCCTTGATATGACGTCAGCGACTTATTGGGGGCAAAAAGGAGAATACATAAATTCAATTTCAAATTAATGAATGAGAAAAAATCTGAATTTTTGGTAAAAAAAATCTCCAGATATCAAAACAACGTCGTTTTATACTGTTATTTTATTTCCAGCACTGAAAAAGACGATGTTTTTGTATCAATGTTTTCTTTTTAAAAAGAAATTTTGTTGAATCTCCGAAACAAAATGACAACAGATTATACTTGCGCTTCATCTTTCCTTTTTTCCTTCTTGTTTTTTAGCCTCCTCCCTCTTTTTTAAGACCTCTATTTATGCTGATACCCCCACCATTTTTTGGGACCGAAGGATTATATATAAAAAATTATTACAGACACGAATTGGAACCGCAGTTCCTCCGCCACGACTAAAACTATAGTTTCGGCTAAAAATTAAACTGCCGCTAAAGACCACCTTTAAAATTGAATTGCCGCCACTAATCACCATAACCTCTGTGCAGAGTTGTTGAAGTTTATCGTCGGAACGTTTGTCGATTGAGTCCATAGATTCGATTTTGCAACCTTCACCGGTGAGACTATTGGGGACGAAGATAAAGAGGAGTAACGAGAAGAGGAAGGGGCTCTAATCTTGATCGATCATAGATCGTGGTGCTTATACAAGATTTGAATATTGTTCTATATGCACTACTTTTTCTACTTTTTCTTTTTCTTTCTATTTGGGCTCTAATTCTATTGTTGCGAAGAGTCGCTCACCGGATTTTCCAGAGGGTTTTTTCCTCTTCTCTCCCCACTACCGTGGATTGTGCCACCAACTCACTCACTGGAAAAAAAAAAAAAAAAGTTCGGTCTGTTTGTACTATTGCTGCTGCTTCTTTTTCCTTGGAGTCCACTCCTAATCTTTTCTTCTTCTTTTTTTTGTTGATTTTTGTTGGTGTTTACATTGCAGAAATTTTTAATAGGGTAGAAACCAGAATTGCATAATTTCCGCTATTTGTTTCTGTTGAGAGCTCTCCGCGCAAAAAGAGGACACCAAACCACATCAAATGCCAAGGACAATCAGAAGGACTTTTTTGTTGGGGCTCTCCGCAGCTCCTGAATTGTTTTATTCTCCAAAAGGTT